CTTTCCTGCTTTTCTCATAACTATGCAACTTGTCTAAAACTAATCCTTCATTATTTCCCACATTTGTTCTTCTTGAACCAAATTTTTTCTGTTAGTCCAATAATTGTACTGCTTCTATCGCAGTTGTCCAACCCCTCTCACAATTGTTCTACTTATCGCACACTTTTTTTTATTTATCCACATTTTTCCTGTTCTAGACCTGTGCTGCTTGTCACAAACTTGTTCTGCCTGATTCACATATGTGCTGCTACTCCAACACTCCTACTTCTGGTCTTACATTTAGTCTGTTTTTTCACATTTGTCCTGCTTTTTTCCACAGTTGTGCAACTTTTTTCCATGTTCAACCGTTGTCTTGCTTGTCCTTATTTTCTCACGCCTGATCTTCTCGGGTCACAATTGTCCTGTTTTGCCACAATTGTAATTCTTGATTCTGGTTATGGTCTCACACTTGAATTGCTTTCTCCACAATTGTGTTACTTGACTCAGATTTGTCCTTTACGTCAAACACTTGTCCTGCTTGTCTCAAACTTTTAAAAGTTCTTCCTATTTGTTCTGCTTGCCTTACACTTATCCAAATAGTTCAACGCTTGTCCTGCTTTTCTCACAGTAATTCTGCTTGTCTCACACTTGTCCTGCTATTCCCACTATTTTGCTACTTTTCTTAGACTTGTCCTGATTGATTCACATTTGTCCTACTAGTACACTAGTTCCGTCTGGCCAACATTTGAGTTTCTTGTCACACAGATGTCTTGCTTGTCTCACACTTGTCCTTCTTTCTGCAACTATGCTAATTGCTGCAACTTTATCGTGCTTGACCCATATTTGTCCGGCTAATTCAACAAATATCCTGCCTCTCCCACATTTGTCCTACTTGCTCTCCAAGTGAACTGCTTTTTCTACAATCGTGGAACTTGTCTCAGACTTGTTATGTTGTATCTCCAACACTTGTCATGTTTGTCTCGATTTTTTTCTGTTTGTATAACACTCTGACACTTGTCATGCTTGTCTCACACTTGTCCTGCATGAACCACATTAGTCCAGATAATCCAATACTTAATCTTCTTGTCTCACACTTGGTCTACTTTTCTCTCATTTGTCGTGCTTTTGCCACAATTGCGCTACTTTCCTCCGACCCTCAAAACTTTTCTGCTTGTCTCAAACTTGTCTTGATTGTCCAATGCTTGCCCGGTTTGAATCAAATTTTATCATTCTTGTCCCATACTCTCATTGATTTTTGCACACTTGTTCTATGTGTGTCTCACAGTTGTCATGCGTTTCCCGCAATTGTGTTACTTTTCTAAATATTGTCCTAATCGAACCACATTTGTCATGCTTTTTTCATAGATGCCTTTCTTGCCCCACACTTGGACTGATTTTCTTAGATTGGTGCTAATTGTCTCAGTTTTGTCCCCTATTTCCAATACTTTTAATGTCTGTCTCAAACTTATACTGGTTGCCTTAAACTTGTTCTGCTATTCCCACTATTTTGCTGCTTTTCTTAGACTTTTCCTGATTGATTCACATTTGTCCTACTAGTGCAACACTTGTTCCGCCTGTCCAACATTTGTCGTGCTAGTCCAACATTTGAGTTTCTTGTCACACAGATGTCTTGCTTGTCCCACACTTGTCCTTTTTCTGCAACTAGTCTAATTGTTGCAACCTTATCCTGCCGCTCCCACATTTTTTCTACTTGCCCTCCGCGTGGACTGCTTTTTTTCCACAATTTTGGAACTTGTCTAGGGCTTGTCATGTTGTATGTCTAACTCGAACTTGTCCTGCTTGACCCACATTTGCCCAAGTATTTCAACACTTGTCCTACTAGTCCGGGTCTTGTCATTCTTTTCTCATAGTTTCTCATTGTCTTTCTTGCCTCACACGTAGACTGCTTATCCCAGAATGAAGCTGGTTGTTTCATATTTGTCCTGTATGCCTAACACTTGTCGTCATGCTTATCTCGCACTTGTTTTTAAACATTTGTTCTCTTTGTCTTGCTTGTCCCATATTAGTCATGCATGACCCAAATTTGTCGTTCTTGTTTTACGCTTTTATTGTTTGCTCCACACTTGTTGTGCTTGTCTCGTACTTGATCCATACCTGTTTTTTCTGACACACATTTGTCGCACTTTTCAGCACATGCTCTGCTTGTATTGTTAGACACTAGTATTGCTCACACTTAGTATTGCTTTTTTCACATTTGTCACATACTGGACCAACACTTGAATTGCATCTTCCAAGGTTGTCCTGATTGTCTCACCCTCGGACTGTTTTCCCACAATTATGTTACTTTTTACAGTCTTATTGTGTTGTATGTCCCAAACTTGTGCTGCTCGAACCACATTTGTCCTTCTAGACTAAAACTTGTCATGCTTGTCTAACACGTGTCCTGCCTGACCCACATTTGACATTTAATCCAACACTTGAACTTCTAGTCTCACAAATGGTCTTCTTTTTTCACACTTGTCCTTCTTCCCCCAAAATTGTGCTACTCTTCTCAGATTTGTACTGTATGTCGTTTTTCCACACTTGTCATGAGTTATCCACATCCGTCCTGCTATTCCGACACTCGCTGTGCCTGTCACACACTTGTCCTGCATGCCAAGTACGTCTCCTGCTTTATACATAATTGTCGTGATTCTTTCTCATTTTTGGACACGTAGTGGACATAACGATCGTTTCAATATTATGTTGTTGTTGTTCTTGTTCTTTGACACGTTTTTAAAAAGTCGCTTTTCTCTTCGAATACTGGACCAATTGCTTTGAAATTTTCAGTGGTTAAAGATTAATTTTTTCGCTAGAAGGCTATTACTTTTATTTATTTCCAAATTTTGCGTGAATTCTATGAAATTTGATATTTCGTCTAAAATTTTGCTGTATTATTTTTTATCCATGGGAACACGGATTTTAGTCAGTGTCATGACTGGCTGTACGTTTTGATTCTGCAAAATTCTTGCTACTGGAAATTCAGAACTTTTTCGAGGGTACCGGTAGCGTCAAAGGTACCGGTAAGGACTGATTCGCTCTGGTCTAACGTGTCCATGTATTTGTGCGTAGCTCTCTTGTTCCACTTGTCTTGCTAGTCCAACATTTGCCATGCTTTTTTCATAGTTGTCTTTTTTGCCCAATACTTAGACTCCTTTTTCCAGAATGGTGCTACATGTCTGAGATTCGTCCTGTATGTCCTACACTCATTCTGCTTGTCTCGAACTTTTCTTGTTGTCTCACACGTGTCTTGCTTGTCTCACTTTCTTTTGTCTTTTTCATTTTCAACAGTCTGCTTGACTAACACTGTTGGTCACATACTTGTCCTGGTTGTCTTACATTTGTCTTGCTTGATCCATATTTGTCATGCTTGATGCAAACTTGCCGTTATTGTTTCACACGTTCCCCGTTTGTCTCACAGCAATTCTATTTGCCTAACACTTGTTCTGATTTTTCCACAATTGTGTTACATGTGTCCTCAGTGTTTAACCTTATTTCCGCTTGTCACACACGTGTCCCGCTTATCTCAAACTTGTGCATATTGTTCAACACATGGTCTACTTTTTACACAATTGTCCTGGTTTTTCCACAGTTGTATACCTTTCTCAGACTTTTCCTGCATAACCATTACAAGTCGCGTTGTCTTTCGTTGTTATCTCACACGTGTGCTGCTTTTCTCGCAATTTTGCTACTTATCTACTCAAACTTGCCGTGGTTGTCTCACAGTTGTCCTACTAGGCTTACACTTGAATTGATTTTTCCACAATTGCGTTACTTGTCTTAGACTTGTCTGTTATGTCGTCAAACATGTGCCTCAAACTTTTTCGTGTTGTCCTGATTGTCTTACACTTGTCCTCACACTCTTAATTGTGCTACTAGTTTCAAACTTGTCCAGCATTTCCTGCACTTGTCCTGCTAGTCTAAAACTTGACCTTTTCTTACAGTTGTCCGGCTTGTGTCACATTTAAACTGCTTTTCCAACAAGTATGCTACTTGTCGCAGACTTGTCCTTTGTGTTCAAACCTTTTTCTGTTTTTCTGAATTTTATCCTTGTTTTCTCGAACTTGTCCTGCTTGTCCCGTGATACTTATTATTCGGGTCGAAATATCTCTCTTTGGCAATTTTTTTCATATAAATTGACGATCAGACCAGGTTTAAACGAGCATAAATATATCTTTCTCCCATACAAACTTTGTCAAACTCGTTGGGTTTACTTCTTCTTATAAGTTCTTATAGTGGTCTTTCTATAAGCAGGTGGACATATTTGTAAGACATACATATTTAGGGGAGAACTATGATTTGTTGAAACATTTTTTTGAACTGACTTGTGTGCCAGATTTGAATGATCCCATATGTCTTCTTTACGAAGTTCAAAAACTCTATTTCTGAAATATGCAGTCCTGGTTGTTTTGCGAATGCCTTCATTTCATATTGTCTGGTAAAGTTTTGTTAATAGCCCTTATCCAAATTATTCTAAATTCTGGCAACGGCGATGGTCGCGTTTAAAAACGAGAAAGATGTCTGCTAGAGCAGGTAACTTGGTGGTGTAAAACTGACACGCATCGACCGCATTTAGCTATCCCTATTTTGACCCCATCGGCCGTATTTTGCCATCCCTATTCGACATCCCCAATATGATTTTTATGCTACCATCACTATAGATATATTCCACAACAACGAGTCAAAACAAGTTATTTTTTCCCAACCAGCAAAAAACAATCGCATAAATACAACATTCAGAAAAAGAGGGATAATCATTCGATTCTACTGAAAGAGGGTTGTCGCTAGGAACCAAAGTTGGTTATCGAGCAGCGACACCCAAGGTCAGAAGGTTCTAATATCTAATTAAAAAGATCGGGAATTTTATTTAAATATGCAAATCCTATCCTATTTACGGAACTATCGTTATTATCGGTGAGCATCGTATTATTATTCCGAGTATCTAACTAAAATATATTTCTAGAGATTGTCTCCAAGAGTCATGACATGACACCGCAGACGGATGGGGTATTCCCCGATACCGCGCTTCATGATTTGGCCATGTTTTTGGTCTCTTTTATGCTAATATAGCTTCACTCTGAGCAAGACTCTGGATAAGGGACCAATGATATCTGGATATAGTCTATAAGAATCTCTTGGAAAATTGTAATTATTCTAGACTACATCGCCATGCAGTACTGCGGTAGGTCACAGTTTTTCGATATCAAGATGTTCTGATATGTAAATGAAAATCCTATCCTATCTTATGGTTCAATAAAGCGAATTGCCATGTAACTCCGTCAGCGTCATCATGTCAACGGTATATCCCAGTATAGTACAAGAATAATAAATATTATAAACACAAAAAAATGCATGGTACATTGCCTAGATAACTTGTCTTTGATAATATAGTAATTTATTCATTATATACAGATATAGTTTACAATTCATGAATAATAATAAGGAATAATGCTGGACTTTTTGCTTGTTGAATATTTTGAAACAACCGAAGTTTGTGTGATTCCTTCGAACTGGCTTTATATTTCTTCCAGTAATAACTACAGAAGTTATTTTCCTGAAATACAGGCTCAGAAAGTATTGGAAAGTTACGCAAAGGCAAGAGTAAACCCTAGAAAAAATTGGCGTTTATTCAACTGTCGAATTCTATTTCAAGCAGGTCAGTCGTATTTGGATTTGGTTAAAGATGGCATTTTTATTCTGACCCGCGTTCCACTTTCGTACATTTTGAGAATCATTGAAGCATTGACAGTTAGGATTTTGTAAATATGACAATGCAATGCCTATGACATTATAACAGTATTGTGTACTTCAGTACTTGGGGGTTTATAGCAGTTTAATTACAGCTTTCAGTCTAGGATTCTTCTAAGAGCAAAATGACATCATTGGCATTACATTGGCACTGAAGAATCTCGAAAGTTGATAAATATGCAGCATATATTTATCAGTTGAATTTGTTGTACACTTTTGCATAGTAATAATTTGACAAAGCGAATTAATTTATTTTTTCAATTTTTTGGCATTCACTCACAGTTGTTATCATATTTTTTCAGATGACTATGGAAGCTGTGAAAACTTTTTGGAAATGATGACCGTAGATAATATGTCGGAAGAAGAAGATTATGAAGTTGAAGGTTTGCTATTACATGTTTAAATAGAACCTAGAATCCATTGAATGTTAATGTCATTAATTTGACAATGAAAATGATTTTGAATAATACTAGAAGACGATTCACAAAATAAGACCATTTACTGAAAGAAGTATCATTAAGTTATCTGACATTGATTCACCCTTACATGGTAACTTCATTCAAATGTTTTTCATTATGTCATTGGAATTACTGTTTCTGATCTATCAATATCTATATTCTTCTTATTAAAAGTAATTTTGCAGTACTAACTTTAACAATTGAGCAGAACATAACAAAAATGATCATGTTTCAAGATGATGTTGTAGTATCAGAACATCGAGAAAATGAATCGAAATTGATCAGTGGAGAAAAGTCATCCAATGTTGTTGAAACTGTTGAAAGTAAGAACTCTACTTAATTTAATCAGAGTAAGGAACCTTCTGGTTTTATGCGTGAGAATGCTCTTTTTAGTTAGTGATTATTTTGGTGTTAAAATATATTGCTTACCTAATTGAAAGGCAGAAGATTTTTGGTTTTGTATTCCATTGTAATTGTTTTAAACAGTACAAACCAATGATGCTGTCCTAGAGGTGCCATCAATTGATGTTCCAGAGCCTGCTATAGAAGTGGAACATGAAACAGTTAAAGTCACCAAAGTTTATCAATTGTTCCCATCTATTAAAACAGGTAATAACAGTAATGTAATTAATTTTGTCAAATATACCTCTGCTGTGGAAGTACTTTATTGGGAATTAAGCTTTTAAAATTATTTCATCAAGTCATTTTTTATCCCTAATTCTATTCAATCACCATCTAATAAAAATGGATGCGGATTGCAGATGAATTCCCATCTACTGGACTCAAAACTTTGCAGCACAACACACGAGCACTTTTCAGGGGGTCGCAGAACAAAATGATTTTACATACGGCATTTTTCTATAAAATCTATCCTAATCAGTGGTGGAAAAAATAAATTTGTTTACAGGTGGAAAAATTAAAAAGACAAACAATGAAAACTAATTTTTGAAGTTTTGGGTTGATGTATATAAAAAAAAGCAAAATTCCCCCCATAAAACGGCAAATTTCCTTCCTCTGAGTATTTCTTTCTCGGTTGGGAAGCATTGCCATAATTTTCAATTCGACCACTTGTGTGTTGGATTAATATTAAATTAGAAACTTTGCGGTAGCGGCAGGAAATATTTGTATAGCTGTGGCAGCTTTAAAATTTCATTAAAATGTTTTACATTTTCTGTTTAATTTGAGTGTTGCGTGTAAACAACTGTAAGAGCCCTCGTGTTCTAATTCTAATATCATTTCAATTGCTCATGTGTGAATTTGGAGTCCATGGCAAGGCAAACTTTTTATGAAATGTGTAACATGAAAGTACGAGTTATGTATTTTCATTGCCGTATTTTACGGTACTGCCCAGACCAATTTTGTTTCCCTGTATTTTGGTCGAATGCTAGTCCACCCAAATAATCTGACCCCAGCAAATCAGGTTAAAAATTGTGACGCAAAAAAGGTTGGGAACCACTGCATAGAGCAAATTTCATGCTAACAAGTTAATAGACTAAGTGCTCCCTATGTATCTTATGAATATATATTGCTAAAGTCACCTTAAAATCCTTACACAAGTCCCCTTCCTTTTTTTTTAAATAGTAGGTTCCATCAGGAATGAATGAACAGTTGTGTTTCATTTTTATAATAACATTTTGATAAAGATTTATAGACGTTCACTTATACATCATAGCATGATTTTGAGTAAGTTTCGAGCATGTCATGTGAATAACATGCCCTATGTCAACTAATGGCTGAGTCTGATATGATAAATCGTTAATGCTGACTGGAAAGATTCTGGTTTCTCCAAAAGGAATAGCTCATTATGTGTCAGTTGCTGCTTCACAGAGCTGGTATGACGAGGGCTTCAGTAAAAACTTTGTTTTGTTTTTCCAAGAACAAACAACTTCTACTGAGCAAGAGTTGGTGCAGTCACCACCAACTGCCCTCCAGGAACCATCTGTGTTTGCAAGAAAAATAGAAGCCACCACCAATGTCGATCAAACCTCTATTGCTAAAGAGTCAGGTATGATCATTGATTTTGTTGAGTTTTGTCAAATTTTCCTTCCAAGCTCTCTATTTGATGTGAAAAGTTGATTTATTTCCTCAATTTTCATTTTGTTATTTATATAACTGTTTTACATTTTTAGAATATTTTATACTTTTAGACTGTATACCTGCTTCACAACAAGAAAAATATGCAGTTACCTGTGTTATTATTTCTGACCCCTCGCAAGATTGGGAACCTGGCCTTATTCCTGGTTCTCAAGAAGTTTCTGATCTTGAATATGTATCCCAAATGGGACGATTATCAGATATTCATCCATCTCATCAATTCTACAGTAAAATTAAAAATTGCAACAAAAAGAGAGCTACAGAAGAAGAACAGATTGTGAAAAATGGTATGGGGAAGCGGTTGAAAAAGCTGAAACGGCCTTGTTTGTATTGTGGTGAATTTCAAACTCGACTGAAGCGACATTTGGAAAGAATCCATGCACAGGAAGATGCAGTAAGAGAAGCTCTGGGGGTAGATGGGGAAGAAAGAATTAGAAAATTCAATCTCCTACGCAAGGAGGGAATATATAAACATAACTTAAAAATGATAATGGAAAACAAACCTATAGGAATTGAAAAACGAAACAAGGGTCATATAGATTTAGCTTGTATCAAAATATGTGTTTTGTGCCGTGCATTTATTAGACGTAAAAATTTCAAATATCACCTGAAAAATTGTCCAATGTTGAAAACACCGAAACGAAAAAAGAACAACAGTGTGCCTGATTTCGTTTCCTGCACAAATGAAAATAAGGATCCTGGACTGCCTAGTCTTTCAAACCTATTTCAAATTGCTGATGAACAAAATTCAAGCAAAACTCACAAAGAAACAAAATGTTTGACCAAAAACCAGGATTCGGGTAAGAACAATAACTTGGAATATTTGTGAATATCCTTTCTGTTGTAAAATTTACCTTGTTATGCCAAGTGCCAACAATAGTTAGTGAATGGCAGTCTCACCATCAAAGTCTGCAAAGCTTTTTTCGAAAACCTAATTTTAGTCACTGACAATTCTTATTACACTTTTTGTTATAGAAGAGATACATTAAATGATTGTGTGTCCACTTGAACAATTATATGCGCGTTTTGTCGTCAATGGTAGCATATTGCATTAAATAATGAACAATTAATGGTAGCATATTTTAACAATCGTACGTTACCAGTCAGTGGATGGCAAATGGAAGTCTGCTTTGGCATTTATATTACACTCTACAGGCTGCCGTACATATATAGATGTCTCACATAGTGTTTATTCAGCCAATCAAATCGGGGTTTGGTGTATGAAAATGACATTCTATTCATAGCTGCTGATGAGATAGACAGAATTCCTTTGCTGTTAACTTGATCATACTTGTAAATGTAAATTATCTTCTTTTCCATACCTTCTGATGTAGTTTAGTCGAGTTCTTGTTAAAATGTCATTATAATATGTACAATATTTGCATACAAGCCAGAAACCTTGGCATTGCTTTTTACATGCCATAGTCATTTTGTTGTGACACTTAGATTGCCCTGCAATTTAACTGTTGTCAAGTGATGTCCAAACTAGCATTTTCTTGTGTATAATGCACTGCCATACTTTGGTTTAATAGCTTTTGGTATTTGGTGGATGCCTCGAGTGTCTTCTTCACCTCTGTGTTTTGCATATGACCTGGATTCGAGTACAATTATCTTATAAAAACTGAACTTATATCTTTCTGTAATTTATTTTAGCTAAATCAGTTGTAGCAGGGAAAGGGTCAATTTCACCTCAAACTGCTAGTAAGGAACCTGAATCGAACTCAGAATGCAAAGAACTAAAAGTGAATAATAACCATCAATTGGCATTTGTAGAATCAGGTATGAAAAAAAGGTTGTGTTTGCGTTTTTTTTTAGTATTTTTCTGTTTTAGAATGGCCTGGATTTAATTGACAATTGACAGTTAATAATATTATAACGTATGCTACTGAGATATAGCACATGATGGTTAGTTACTTAGTGGGTATTAATGTATATTGTTGGTCTTTTGACATTGATTAAGTAGGTAATATTGGTTAGTAGTAGTGAATATATTCGAGACAATCATGGTGATGACAATGATTCTCAATATGTATGATTTCATAAAAAAGTTTTTAAATCCTTTCAATTGAAAGTACTGTTATATGACACTTGGTACATTTCCTGATTTGTAATAAAGATTATACAAGATAAACTTTTATGCCCTATTATTTAAGTAATGCCTGTTTGGGCTTCATTATTAAATATGCATTGATGTTTGTATTTGTAGAACTAGGCATGACTGATAGCATTCAATCATCACTTGCTGTGGAAACCGATATGAAAAAGATGTTATTATTATGTTTTGTTAAATATTGCTCTATTTATGAAAGCCATAGCTTAATTTGATAAGGTCTATGCTAAAACTTTTAATTTCCCAAATTGTTTCAAAGTCATATTACTTCATTTAGGGTGTGAGTCTGGTTTACAAGACGAATGTGCAGTCAATTGTGATGATGTGGTTAATGATTCCTCACCAGATTCTGGCATAAACATTACTCCTAATTCTCCTGCAGCTCGTGATACTGTTCATGATTTTCAATTGGTTAGAATATCTGAAACTCATTCACTTGTTCGACCCAGCAACGGAATTAAAAAGAATGAGGTTAAACCACAAGGAGAAAAGAAAGTGATGAGAAAAAAGCCAAAACGACCATGTTGTTATTGTGGTAAATTACAAGCCAAATTGAAGCGACATTTGAAAGCAATGCACGCTCAAGAGGATGCAGTTAAAGAAGCTTTGAAGCTAGATGAAAAAGAAGAATTCAGAAAGTTTGAACTTTTGCGTAAGAAGGGGATATATCAGTATAATCTTAAATTGATTAAAGAAAACAAGCCCATCGCAGTTGAAAAACGGCAAAAGAACCACCAATTGGCCTCTTTTAAAGTATGTGTTTTATGCAATGCATTCATTGGTCGGAAACAATTTGCAAGTCATCTGAAGCGTTGTTCGAATATTGGATACACAGGAGAAAAGGACAAAAGTTGTGCACATGCCTCTGATCTGGCCATATATGAAAACCGGAAAGGGGATACTGGATGTCATGGTGTTCTCGATGAATTTCATAACGAAGGCAAAGGCAGTTTGTGTAAAAGCATACCAAACGAGAAATCAGGTGAGAACGTGAATTATGTATGTTTTTTCATACATCCTATACTTGGGTTGAATCCGGTAAGATCTTACTATGTTTATCAAGGGTTAAGAACCTTATACAATCTTATTACGGCCTAAGAGAATACAGAAAATTGTAGTCAAATTCACTCATTGAAGAACAAATATGTATCTTACATTTAAGTAGGGAAAACTCGCTTTCCGCTCTCGGAGAAACTCTGCTATGTTTAAATACTAGAGTAACATTTGAGGGTAGGGCAAAGAACAAACATTCAAATGACACTTTTGTGTATATAACAGGTGGCAGGTGTGTAATGATTTTCGACCCATTTGGTACCTTATTATTTTATAAAAGTTCTCCTGAAAAACCATTTCTAGTTCGTTTTTTCTTGCCTTTACCTTAAGTCTTATCTGGACAAGAACAATGCGAGAAAAAAGAAGTCTGGAAGAATTTGAAAAAACCAAAACGACCTTGTGTTTATTGTGGTAAATTACGAGCTCGGGTGGAGAGACATTTGCATACAATCCATGCACAGGAGGATGCAGTAAAAGAAGCATTAAAGTCAAATATAAAAGAAAAAATGAGGAAATTTGATCTTTTGCGCAAGGAAGGAATATACAGGCATAATTTGAAAATGATTAAAGAAAACAAACCAATAGAGGTCGAAAGACGCCAATATAAATCTCAAACAGATTTAGACAGTTTTAAAATATGTGTTTCATGTCATGCGTTTATTGCTAGTAATGGTATCTCGGGTCATATGAAGAATTGTTCATCTTTGAAATCCTCTGTTGAAAATAAATCTAAATGTTTGTTACCTGCCTCTGTTCTCGCCCAACAGCGAAATGAAAATGATGTAGTTCTATTTATAACAACTACAGGTGAGTAAATATTTGGTTTTGATGGGTAATTTGGCTTTGCATAAAAAATTTGTGATGTTTGTATTGTTGCAACGACCAATGCTCAGGTGCTGTGTGTAGAATTATTGAACCTTCACCATAGATTGACTTTAGGTTCTTGATTGCCGCCACATAAGACCTATTACCTAAAACCATCTCTACTGGCTATAAAGAGTTTGCAGTGTTCGATCCTCATCATACACTGTGTTATATTCAGACTCTTCTACTCACAAAGATGACATAGGCGAGAATACATCAGAGCGGAACTCACTACCAGAGAAATTGGAGGGTGTTCGAAAATGTTCAGGTCGTAATAGTAGGGCTCTTTATATAACAATTTCATCTGTATCTTGTTAAATCAGTTGCATTACTATTTCATGATGTTACCCTATTTTTTTTATTTAAGATGATCAAGCTAGTAAAGATTTATGTGCAATACATGTAATTCTCAGGTTCAAAGTCCTATTTCCGGTGGACAAAAGATGATCAGCAGAAAGTGTTCTCGTATTTCAAAGAAGCAGTATGGGATTTGTCTGAGCGAGGAACGAAAGGATCATTACCTGGTTATTATCTAATGCAGTGTCATTTATTATATTGGATTATTTAAACCTAATGAATTAATTAATGTGCATATTTTTATTTAGGAAAATGCGAGATAGAGAACTTCTTACGCAAATATCCAAAACTTTTTAAAGATCTAGAGCCGAACAAGAAGATATCTGTTGTTAAAGCGAAAATTTTTAATGAAAGAACGAAGTTTCGTGAAAACCACTTTATGAAATAAACGATATCGTATGACTCTCCTCCAACTGACCTTTAGTGATTCAGCAACACTTATTTTGTTTGTTGGGAGCAAATCGAGGAGGAGACTTCATCACATCAAATAGCCAGGATGTGTAGGTGGCCTCGGCACCTTCATCACTTTCACACTAGCGCGAATAACGGGTAACTCGTTATATATGAATGTAATGCTTGATAGGGAAACACAGTTCGTTCATGGCGTGGTAATTGTTATGTTTTGGCATACAGTGCTGCAATCGGGATGTATGAAATGTGTAAGCTTTTTGATGTCGCTCTAACCTGAAATTTTTCAAGGTATCGCCTTCCCAACCGTGCGTATACATTACCATTACCAGGGTACATAGCGTGACATATTTTTAAGACAAACGTCAATCTTTATATTACGAAATTCGTTTTCTTGTTAATAAATAACGATTAAATAAATATAATGGTGTTGTTTAGGACTAATAGCAATGTACGAGCAAGAGTGATTTCGCCTGGACTCTTTGTGTGCGGCGTATGTATATTATTGCAGTAGTGCCCTTGCCTGTGTTTTATTTCGCTTGTCGTAAATATACTGCGCTGTGACTGTATTGATATTATAACCAATATATTATGAAGTTTTCGTGTTGTATAATATAAAGGTAGATTGGAGCTGTCCGGTTCTTAGCTTGGTTCTCTTTAAGCGGTTGCCTGATCTTCTCTCCCAACAACTAACACGGTCTTCACCAGCACACAATTGATATATATATATATATATTATTGCCAAACTTGGTCGTCACAATTCTACATGCATATATACAGTTCCTTACTGTGGTATCTCTCCAACCTATACTGCTTAATTAAATGCTTATACCTGTAAGTAGGACTGGGCATTTTCGAATACCTGATGATTTCAGAATCTAAGATTTTTTTCGAATCGAATCTCGAATACTTGGGAGACATAAAATTGTAAGTAACTTTTTTATTGTATTAGGTCCTCCAGACACCTGAATTTCTGAAAACATAGAATACATCGCTCGGGCAGATTGTTGAGCGTTCACAAACAGTAAAAAACACGTTTTCATCAACAAATCACTACCGAAAAGAGTCATATATATATGTCAGAATTAGGTGGAAAAAATATGGCTTCAACAAAAAAAATTGAGAAATTTACCTCGACCATTGGCGCAAAGAAAAAAAACAAGATGGTGGCGATTCGAAATTTTGCTCTGAGCCGATTCGAATAATTTACTATTCTATTACAATTTACCATAATATTGCCAATGAATTATTGTTCATCCGACGCAGGCTCTATGTGGTTTTTAAAAATTTTAGAACAGTGGTCGGCAAACTTTATTTACTACCCGGCCAAATATGCACATTGACGGTAACGTGCGGGCCACATTAATTTCCGTCTATAAACAATTGCCACATTAAACTCCTGATTGTGGCGCACCCTCAACTCCTATTTCTGTGTTCGCCAAGTAGGCCTACAGGGTGACCCCAAAAAATGGAACCCATAAATTTCTTAGGGACTTCAACGAAAATGGGTAAATTATTGAATTTTGTCTACACTCGACCTTCTGTTCGTGTAAGATTGTACACAAAAGTTTCAAAAATCTAGGATGTTTTGCAAAAAAGTTCTGTTTTCTGCAGAATATGTCCCAAAGGTCCTCCACGGTATTGTAGACTTTCGAGAAATTGACAATCACTCGCGCACACTCCTCTATGGGGATTTCTCTGATTTTTGCTGCAGTTGCCGCCTTGAGTTCACCAATTGTTTGAGAATTGTTCTGATGCACATTGTCCTTCGAATACCCTTACAGCTAAAAATGCGGTGGTGGGCTTGAAGTCAGGGGAATAAGGTGTTCACTTGACGTCACTGCTGGCTGTTGGTCAGCCTTTTCTGAAATCGCTCTCTCAGCCAGTCAAAAGTGTGATTCAATATGTGCGGTACCGCCTCGTAATGCTGGACCCAATGGTAACCACTATCAATCCCTCTACATAATAATAATAATCTTTATTTTGATTTCCCTCAAAAAACATACACATAACAAATAATGAACACATAAAACAAACACACAGAATAATGGGAAATCGGGAAAACAGGCAAAACCTCGAGTAGGGTTTAAAACACGTATAAATACATGTGCCTGTCCACCCATTCATACAACCAGTCTACATCGTCCAAGTGATATCCAGAATTTCCTCGGCGCCATCACGGAACGTTCCCAATTCATTGTTTCAGCTCTTTCATTTAGTCTTTACACCAATACTGACAGATTATGCCATGTTTGGAAATGATTACACATGTCGGTCACCTCAGTGAGTGTAACTGTCTCTTTAAGACTCTCTTCGGTGATGTTGTGCTCCAGTGAACATTATTGTTGTTCTGACAGCAAAAAGTGCGCTTCAGCAAAAAGCCAAACGAGTGTATATATAATAATTTTGCGCCACTGTCTGTCTCTAATGTATGGTGGCACATCGTTGTCACGCGTAAAATTGAAAAATAAAAAATAAAAAAACTTGCTGGTAATTAATATTACGTACAACCTGTAACTGGCTGCGCCCAATCCATCCCTCGATTCACTATATTCTACTAGCTAGACCAGTGGTTCTTAAACTGGGGGGCGCGCGAGAGGTCACAAGATGGAATCGGAAATTTACATGTAACGGCTCCTGAAACGGTCTCCGCGTTCGTTAAAAATACCGGCTTTTTCGTGGTATAATAAATTCTTCTGTCTCGTAATAACCACAAGAATTCAAAATGTCTCTCTATTTTAATTCATTTGTGTTCAAGGTAACTCGCGGTTGCGGCGACTCATGTCAAAATAAACTCATTACCGATCCAAAATACCACGCCAATCCGCGGTCATATTAAAGTGTGATCAACTGCTCGATTATATTTAGTTTTGATATATATTGAACCCATGCGAATTCGTTGTCTTCATTAGAAAGATCTGGTATAATATCTCAGAAAGTATACTTAATTTAGTACAGTTAAAATACATATTCATCGACTCGAAATCCCCGCGGTACGAATCCTGAGTCAGTCCTCGAAAATACGCCAGTCGTTATAAGAGCCGACTTTGTCAACGGATATGTAATGGTTTTCGTGTTGAATTAAATATTCAATCCATGACCGATATACTCATTTAAAATGGTTGCTTTATTCATTTATTGGGATAAATTAAATCTGCGATTGCGTCGATAAAATAATAGCACCACTACTCCAAAATACCACGGTACTCCGCAACCATAAAAATGTGTGGCAAAGTGCCCGATTACATTTTGTTTTGATTTGTATTCTTGTCAATTTCACCATTATGAGCTGTCCCTGCAACTCTTACTCCGCTCTATCGCAATGCTCGATTAATTTTAACACCGTTACAGAAATTCCTTAGTCTGCGATAAAATCCCACGGAGTAAAATTTATTTCAAGTCGGTAGTTTTAGAACACTACTGGTGTGCCGCAGGTACAAGGAATTTATAAGATTTGCAATGTCTAAGAAAGTGTTTTTAATCTGTCGCGGTCCAACTCAAAACAAAACTCGTGGTGTTTTCCGTTTTATTTCTAGTATTTTATAATCTCGCTTTTACAATAAAGAAATATTTGGTTGCAGATTCACTAATTTATTCTATCTTGAGCATCTCGTCGCTGATGATTATATAATAAAAACTAACTCGTTTTCCTCAGAGGTGTCATGGTTCTATTCGAAAACAAAAAAGTAATTATAATCATCTTCGCGACACAAGAATATGTCGAGGGAAATTTCTGATTTAGGGAGAATAAACCCAAAATCAAGATTTTCACGGCTTAAATAGCAGGCCACGCTTACGAAAACAATCGAGATTTAAACAAAATGCAATCGCAAACGCCTTGGTGGCTTTATTTTTCAGCGGTCAAGGGCCGGGGAAACGTCCACATGCATAATAACTATTAAAAAATGAACTGCTTTCAAATTTACATAAATTCATTTGTACTTCTTCATTTTGTTTGAAACGTTAGGTAAGCCAAGAAGTCTGTAATTGTTGCTTATTTCTAATACACAGTAAATAATTTTGGCATCGCTCAATTCTTTTATCCCGTTTTTATTTTCATTTTCGTTTTTTTTTTGCATTTTATTTATATATTTTTTTTTAAATTTTTTTCATTATTTTTTTTTATGTTTTTTCACAACTATTTTTTTATTTTACTTTTATATTGAGTTTTTTTTTATTTTTTTTTAAATTTTACGCGTGACAACGATGGGCCACTATACTAATGCCATTGAGATAATTTGGAACACATTTTAGGGAGAACAAAGCTTCTCTACAAAGCGTCCTAGATTTCTGAAACTTTTGGGTATAGTCATACACAAGAAGTTCAACCGAAAATACCGTGCAACGAATTCTTAAGTATGCCGCTGTTGCGCGGTTGGACTTCATGAAGTGTAATTGATATTGTCACGGACCACACTGCAGTGTTTATGTTGTGTATATATTTTTATGTTTTTATTCTCACCCCTTATTCAATGCTGTTTAGTCCAGCGGTTCCCAACCTTTCTACCCTGGCGGACCGGTAAAATTAGATTAAATGTACTCGCGGACCGGCAAAAAATTGAAATGGCCGGAACAGAAAAGAATAACATATATTTTCGTAATATGATGCAATGAAATGCACGCATAAAATATCTCACATTAAAGACATGCACAATTAACCCGTGTGAGAATTTTGCTGCTGTTTCGTTTCCAATATAAGATTGCAAACGAAGCCTCAAAGAAGTTTTTGCAACACGTAGCTCTGCAGCCGCGTGCAGTCGATTTCTTTGCTTCGTTTTAATTGAATCTAGTGATAATTCTAGTGAAAATGTTTTTTCGCATAACGCAGTAACTGGCTGAAAAGACGGACAACAGTTTGATTGCTCGATTACTTGGCGATGGGTATTCGTTATCATCTAAAATTGTGATAAGTAATTCTTTTTTAATCTGGACTGTAAAGTAGAATCGCTATTTTAATCAAGCCTTTTCTTTTTCATTGCGTTTATCATATTAATCCCTCTGCAGT